CCCCAAAACCCCAAAACCCCAAAACCCCAAAACCCCATGAAATGGATTTTAATGATAGATGGAAATTTAATAAAATAAAGAATAATTTAAAGAAAAATTAGCTATTGAATTAATCAATTCTTTGTTAAAATTATGAAGAGCACTCCTAGTAGACATGCCATCATCCCAAAGACTCCTAAAATTGCAGGATAGAGTTGCAAAAATACAATTTCCAAAAGCATTTAGAAAGGTGATTGAATCATCAGGATAGCTTACAAAAGACCACCTTTACCGTATGCAGCAGACCCCACAAATATAATGAATCCGAGAACAAGAAGTAGGGAACTTAGGAAAACCATAGAAAATTCGTATAAAGTGTATGGCTCAAAATATAATTATTAAAACAAAGCCTAGAGAGTTAAAGCTATAGAGGCTAAAGATTGAGAGTCAGCAGCATACTAATATATGGATAGTCTTGAAACGTTTACTACTCTTGCAATCAAAGTATGAGCAGCAAATATACAGCAATTGAATAATTATAATGAGACTGGTATCAAGACACTCAATCTATCTGCTTCATTAATACCCGCATTTTAGGATATTGTATTACCATCAACCTCGTATCTTCCTGTTGCAATAAGTACAATACTAAGAGTTACAGCAGCGATCCCAACTACATGCCTTTTACCCAGTTTCTCATTGAACACAAGGTAGAATGCTATAGCTGTGAGGATTGATGTGGTACCTTGTATTGAAAGAATGATGGAATTACTTACTCCAGATCTTACAGAAGTTTCCAAGATATAGTACAAGACATATTACGATACATACTACAGGAGAGATTGGACAAAGATGATAAATAGCACAAGTTTGTTTAAGGTACCATCATCTTTGTAATATGCTGATCTAGATTTTGACCAAAATGATCCATGCATTTGCTTGCTTTCAATGGCGTATTATATGTGATACATAAAATAGAAAATAAGGTGAGCCAGTTGAATCAAGTACAGCATTCTAAGTTCAAGTGCATGGCCAATACTGACATATAGAACAAAGTTATGAGATCCATAGCACAATGCGACAAGTACTCCTGTGTATAGATAGTAATTTCCAAAAAATCTGGCTAATCTGCTGGTGTTTTTAATGTCATTTGATGAGGCTTTTGTTTCGATGTCCTATTTTGGCAATAGAGGTTCATTCAAGTCATTTTTTAAAACAGTACTCATTTAAATATATATATACCTGAAGGTAAAACTAAAAATTAAATACTTTTTTGTTTCAATTACTTTTTACTGCAGATTTGAGTTATTACATCACATGGGGTTTTGGGGTTTTGGGGTTTTGGGG